TAATATTTAGTATTCTTGAATTAATAATTTGGGAACCAGTCTGTCTTAGACTATTTTTCAAATAATTTTTTTTCCTCCACACTCTCCCATGTACCTAATTTTGCAACAAAGATACCTGTCCTCAGAATGCCTTCAAGGTTGAGTTAGAAATCAACAATGCTAGGAATCCTGTATTGCTTCCCACTCCCAACTCCAACCTCCCATTTTTATTGCTAAATAGATCTCCCAATTAAAACTAAATTTTTGTTTTCCTTTCATTTAATTTAGTAATTTATCCATGGATGTGACTAATATTTAAGTTAATAAAATGTAAATATTAATTGAGTAAATTAATATAATCACATTAATTAACTTATATTAATTAAATTAATCCATTTACTTATATAATGTATTTAAATTTAACAAGAATATATTATATTATCTTCCTGCTAAATTTTATTGTCAGAGAAATAGGTATTTGCACTTCCTTACTTTAAGAGAAAACCAGGGTTCAGGGTTGGCAGCAAGTCCCCCTACGAAGTAGGCATGCCCTCTAGTGGCAGATTCACCACACTACAGGCCTGGACTCATGCCACCCAATTCTGAAGTTCCGGCTGCAATTTTTTTCTAAAAGAATATGTCCAACAGGCATTTTTTCTGAGTATGACGGAGTATAAAAAAATTACATAATGTCACCTTTGTGTATGGCATTAAAAACTGAAAACCAGCCAACTTTGGGGTAATATACAGATAAGTTTAAAGAAATAAAAGGACCTAAAGTTTTCATGTGTTAATATTTTGGACAGAAATAAGGACCTTTCTGAGGGAAATCTGACAGAAAGAAGGAGATTTTTGACAGAAAGGAGGTCTTTTCTGGGAAAGAAACTTGACAGAAAGAAGGTGTAGTTTGTACTTATCACCTCGATAAATTGGGGTAAAAATACTCAAAGTAACGATTTACACAGGTGGAAACATGACAATAAAAACAGTTCTGCTGTGTGTATGAGAAATAACACATAACAAGATTTGTATTTCAGCACGCGCTCAATTTTTTTAAAAAGTACCATATTTTTCAAAGTTAGCATCCATTTTACCATTGATGCATATAAAGAGAATAGATATTTTTTAATCTTCAAAAATGGTATTTCTAGTTTCAAATTTACTTTAAATACCAGTATAGAGTGTATAGAGTGTATGTAAGACAGATACCAATCCATAACAGGTGCAAAATAACATGTCTTTTCAGTAAATGTCAGAAAAAAAACTAAAAAACAAATAATATATACCATCCATTTTTATAAATCTACTAATTTTTTACATGTTTTTTCTAGAATTTTTTTTGGGGGGGAGGAGAATTCAGATAGAAACTAGATAGAAAGGAGATTTCTGACAGAAAGTCTTTTCTGGGAAAGAAACCCGACAGAAAGAAGGCGATTTCTGACAGAAAGAACGTCTTTTTCTAGGGGAGAAACCTTACAGAAAGAGGGAGATTTCTGACAGATGACAGAAAGAAGGACGTTTCTGAGGGAAACCAAATGGAAAGAAGATTCCAGACAGAAACAAGGTTTTTTTCTGGGAGATAAACCTGACAGAAAGAAGGCTATTTCTGACAAAAAGGACATTTCTGAAGGAAATATGATGGAAAGAAGGAGAATTCTGACAGAAAGAATGTGTTTTGGGGGCAGCTAATACTGACAGAAAGATGGAGATTTCTGACAGAAAGAAGGCCCTTTTTGGGGGGAAGGAAACCTGGACAAAGAAGGCAATTTCCGACATGACAGAAAGAAAGACATTTCTGAGGGAAATGTGATGGAAAGAAGATTTCTGACAGAAAGTTCTTTCCTGGGAGAGAAACCTGACAGAAAGAAGGCAGTTTCTGACCGAAAGAAGGATGTTTCTAGGGAAACCTGATGGAAAGATGGAGATTTCTGACAGAAAGGGTGTTTCTGAGGGAAACCTAACAGAAAGGAGGTATCTGACAGAAAGAAGGTCTTTTCTCGAAGAGAAACCTGACAGAAAGAAGGCAATTTCTGACCAAAAAAAGGAGAATTCTGAGGGAATCCTGACACAAAGAAGGGGATTTCTAACAGAAAGGAGGTCTTTTCTCAGAGAGAAACCAGAAAGAAGGCACTTTCTGACAAAAAAGGACAATTCTGAGGGAATCCTGACACAGAGAAGGGTATTTCTGACAGAAAGAAGGTCTTTTCTGGGAGAGAAACCTGACAGAAAGAAGGCAATATCTGACAGGGAAAAAAAAAGGATGTTTCTGAGGAAAACTTGATGGAAACATGGAGATTTCTGACAGAAAGAAGGTTTTTTCTGGGAGAGAAACCTGACAGAAAGAAGGTAATTTCTGACATGATAGAAAAAAAAGGAAGTTTCTGAGGGAAATCTGACACAAAGGAGGGTATTTCCAACAGAAAGAAGGTCTTTTCCGGGATATAAACCTGGCAGAAAGAAGGCACTTTCTGACAGAAGGATGTTTCTGAGGGAAACCTGATGGAAAGATGGAGATTTCTGAGAGAAAGAAGGGTGTTTCTGAGGGAAACCTAAGAGAAAGAAGGAGATATCAGACAGAAAGGTCTATTCTGGGAGAGAAATGTGACAGAAAGAAGGCAAATTCTGACAGAAAAACAAAGGACGATTCTGAGGGAAACCTGACACAAAGAAGGGGATTTCTGACAGAAAGAATGTCTTGTCTTGGAAAGAAATCTGACAGAAAGGAGATTTCCGACAGCAAAAAGGATGTTTCTGAGGGAAACCTAACAGAAAGAAGGTGATATCAGACAGAAAGAAGGTCTATTCTGGGAGAGAAATGTGACAGAAAGAAGGCAATTTCTGACAGAAAAAAAAAGGATGAGTCTGAGGGAAACCTGACACAAAGAAGGAGATTTCTGACAGAAAGAATGTGTTTTTGCGGGGGAGAAACCTGACAGAAAGAAGGGGACTTCTGACAGAAGGAAGAATGTTTCTGAGGGAAACCTGATGAAAAGGAGTTTTGTGACAGAAAGGTCTTTTCTGGGAGAGAATCCTGACAGAAATAAGGCAATTTCTGACAGAAAGAAAGACATTTTTGAGTGAAACCTAACACAAAGATTTCTAACAGAATATGTTTTGGGGAGAGAAACCTGACAGAAAGAAGGATGTTTCTGAGGTAAACCTGATGGAAAGAAGGAGTTTTCTGACAGAAAGGTCTTTCCTGGGAGAGAAACCTGACAGAAAGAAGGAAATTTCTGACAAAAAGAAGGACATTTCTGAGGGAACATAATGGAAAGATGGAGATTTCTGACAGAAGTAAGGGTGTTTCTGAGGGAAACCTAACAGAAGGAAGGAGATATCAAAAAGAAAGAAGGTCTTTTCTGGGAGACAAATAGGGACAGAAAGAAGGCAATTTCTGACAGGAAAAAAAGGACGATTCTGAGGGAAACCTGACACAAATAAGGGGATTTCTGACAGAAAGATGGTCTTTTCTGGGACAGAAACTTGACAGAAAGAATTTCTGACAGAAAGAAGGATGTTTCTGAGGGAAAACTGACAGAAAGAAGGAGATTTCTGACAGAAAGAATGTGTTTTTTGAGGGGAGAAACCTGACAGAAAGAAGTGGACTTCTGACAGAAAGAAGAAAGTTTCTGAGGGAAACAAAATGAAAAGAAGTTTTCTGACAGAAAGGTCTTTTCTGAGAGAGAATCCTGATAGAAGGAAGGCGATTCTGACAGAAAGACTATTTCTGAGGGATACTGACAGAAAGAAGTTTTCTTCCAGAAAGAAGATTTCTCCTGTGAGAGAAACCTGACAGAAAGAAGCTGATTTCTGACTGAGAGAGGGACTTCTCTGAGGAAAGCTGACTGAAAGAAGGAGATTTCTGACAGAAGGAGGGACTTTTCTGATTGAAGTGAAAGTTGCTCAGTCGTGTCCAACTCTTTGCAACCCCATGGACTATACAGTCCGTGGAATTCTCCAGGCCAGAATACTAGAGTGGGTAGCCTTTCCCTTCTCCAGGGGATCTTCCCAACCCAGGTCGCCCACATTGCAGGCGGATTCTTTACCAGCTGAGTCACAAGGGAAGCCTAAGAATACTGGAGTGGGTAGCCTGTCCTTTCTCTGGCAGATCTTCCTGACCCAGGAATCGATCCAGAGTCTCCTGCATTGCAGGAGGATTCTTTACCAACTGAATATCAGGGAAACCCTTTCTGATTGAAACCTGATAGAAAGAAGAGATATGCCAGAAAGAAGGACTTTTCTTTGATGGAAATATGATAGAAAAAAAGGAGATTTCTGACAAAAAGAAGGACTTCTCTGTGATAGAACCCTGATAGAAAAAAGATATCTATAAAAGTTATTTTATAGAAACCTGACAGAAAGAAGATCTCTTCTAGGGGAACCTGAGAGATAGATTTCTGACAGAAAGAAGGACCTTTCTTCAAGGGAAATCTGACAGAATGACTGAGAGAAAGTAGGACTTTTCTAAGTAAATTCTGAGTGGGGTTTGTAGGAGGAAATTCTGAGTGAAGGAATTTTATACTTATTTCAGAGAGAGGTTTGGTGAAAGGAATCCTGCTTATAGGTGAGTATAAAGGAATTTTTACATCTTGAAATTGAAATTGAATTTTGAGAAAATGAGATTTGAGATATTATTGTGAAGAATGAGATTCCATGTAATTATGGGGGAAAGACTGAGAGTCAGGGAAATCTGAGAGACAGAAGGAGATTCCAAGGGAATTCTGAGAGTAAGTAGAGTCTGAGGGAATTCTGAGAGAAAGAAGAGAGTCTGCAGAATTCTGAGAGAAGAGTCAGAGGTAATTTTTAGAAGAATGATAACAGGAATTACTTTGAGAAGTTCGGTGAAAGGATATCTGAGTGAGGGAGGGTTTGATTTCATTATCCATGAGAAAGAGTATAAGGGAATTCTGAGAGAAGGAGAGTGAGATGGTATTCTGAGAATAATAGAGAATATTCTGAGAGAAATCTATATCTATTATATTTTTTAAATATTCAGGAAAACATATGTTATTCTTACTTACAACTTTCCAGTTGCATTATACATGTTTGTACATCCATCGGAAAATTCTTGAGATCCATTGGACAGGAGAGTGTTAATGTCAACCTGAAAGAATTCGAAGTAATCATTTTACAAAGAAATTTATAATGTCATATTAATAGTCTATCGTTCAGAATACAATGGAAAACAATGCTGTTTTGGTTGTGGCTAACATCTACTCAAGAAAATTTGCTCCAGCTTGTATATATTATTTAGTGTGAAATAACTGTATCCTCAAATAAATCTGGTTTTGGAGGGAAGAAAAGCTGTATATATAAACATATAATCACAGTTTTTTTTTGTATATTTATGCTTTCCTTTAGATAGTGATGGAGATATCTAAGAGTGGTCTCTATTTCCAGAAAAGACCCTTTTAAAAAAGATATTTGAGAGTAAGCTTTATAAAATTAATACCAAAGGCCAAAAGACACAGTTCCCCCAAATCATAGAGACAATGTCATTGAGGCAAGTATTGGTTGACCAAAAAGTTCATTTGGGTTTTTCCATAAGATGTTACAGAAAAACCCAAATGAACTTTTTGGCCAACCCAATAGATCCAAGGTCTGGAATCTGGATGTGAAAAGGCTGGGTGCCAGAAAGTAATTTCATGTGACATCTTTTACTGTCTTTTTAACTACACTGAAGATCTTCTCAGTGAACATCCAGCGGGAAAAACTCTGGATCTAGAGGACTCCAAAATTCTCAGTACTAAGGCTTCCCTGTTGTGGAATTAGAGCATTTCACCACATTGTATTAGGTCCACAAAATAGCCCTCTCAAACATGTGTGACATATTCTGTGTTCACCAAACAAACTTTTGATGTAACTTCACACAAAGTGAGACGACATGATGGTGAACCCTACTTTTTCTCATTTCAGAATGTATTATAATGCTGACTTTCCAGGTAATTCACTACTTGATTTTTTTTTTTTTCCTTTAAAGAGTACATGACTTCAGGGATTACCTATCTTCATGGATTTCCAAGAATTTGTAGTTTCTGGATATGAGAAAAATAAACCCAGCTCCAAATAAATCCATATTTATTCAAATGAGGTTCTTTTCTAAGAACTCTCTAGCCAGCCCCTTTTATTGAAAGCTTTCCTACTGAAATGCAGTGTATTAGTAGATATCCTAGGCTGAGTCATTCATCTAAACTCTGTGACCAAAAACTTTATGGTCTCCAATTATGTCATTTCACTCTACTTCAGTTTTCACATCTCCAAAAGGAAGGTAATAATAATACCTATTCTGGAGACAGGTTGTGAGCAATTAGTTAATCTGTGAAATGCTCAGTCAAGTGCTTGACACCTAGTAAACAATCAATGTTAGTTATTAATGATTATTAGCACATTCTCACTACCCCAGGCTTCCCCATTTCCTCCTTCCCCAAATTATACAGTATGAACACAAAGATGACAGAATTAAATCACTTATTTAAAAAAATTAAGTTTTAGCAAAAACTAGCCATCAGCTCTACTAAATGCAACCACATTCTCTGAAGTAACATTTTTATGTAGGCCATAGACATAAAGCTATAATGATGTACAGCTGACAGTGAATACTCTTGGTGGGGTCCCAGTGATGTCATTTGAGAGGGATAAGCTGACAGAGGTGAAGCTGCTGAATTTTTAAGAGTCCCAGGGGATCATCTGACAATTCATTCAAGTTAGAGTCCATAGCACACTAAAAGAATCCACAGAATTGATTCTTCAAAAGCAAGTTGTCTCCTAACTCACCTAGGTTAAGTGATCCTGCAAGTGTGATATTGTCCATCTGCAAAATTCTTTCTTCAAAAGGCAATTTTAAAATCTGCTGGGCACAATGCTCTCTGTCTTGTGAAAAGGGTTATTAGAAGTATATGCACAAGTACAATTTGATGTACATTCATTAATTTCCCAAACATCCAAGACTCTCTAGCCAGTCAGTTTCAAATATTGGCTTAGAGAATTCATTCTGTGACCTTTTGTATGGAAGTAAATAACATTCTTAGAATCTTTTCCAGGCTTTCACCATGCATGTGATGTCAAATTCATATCTTCGCTATTTTTCTGGTGTAAAAAAAAAAAATAGACATTGCATAATTCTTTAAAAAAAAAGATACTTGGAAGGAATTATTTGGCAAGGAAAAAGTTTGTAGGATTTCTGTATAAATCATACCCTGAATAAAAATCTATTTGTTGACTTTCTTTTTGTTTAAGGTATAATACAATAACTTCTTTAACAGCACAGGGATGAAAAAATGTGTCACCTTGGTGAGTGTGATCCTGCATTTCTTTATTAAAACATATAAATTAAAGATTTGTCCTGACCACATCAAAAGAAAACTAAATCAAGATGTAACTACTCACATTCTCTACTGTTTAGGAAATATTGTGTAAGAGAGGACATGGAGTTCTCTTTTATGAAACAAGACACACAAACAGGATGTGTGTTTCTTTCATTTTCCCTTAAAACATCTTGGCTTAGTTAAGCAGCAATGTCAAAAAAAAAAAAAAAAGATGATGACTATAATCTATTCTAAACAATTCACCTCATTAAAATCAAGGTATTACCAATTTCTAAACAAGCATTGCTTGTTTGCCCAGAATATGTGGTCCCAACCATTAACTGAAGTATTTTGTAAAAAGGATTTTTGACTCCACTTTAGGCTTTATTTGCAAATGATAGGTATTTTATTAGTTTTTAATATATCTAAACATACTGTTATAAGGACAATTGCCTCAACTATCAGCATTGAAATATTATCTGTAATATCATACTAGGTAATACTTTTTGCTTACTGTGTGACAGGCACTATTTTAAATACTGCATATATGCCTTAATTTGTTTATTTCTTAATATGAATTTATAGCACAGCTAAGTGATGTTACCTTTACTTAGAGATGAGGAGATTAAGACTTAACTCACCTGATATGTAAAGCAGAAATTGATAGAGCTGAATCAATAGCTCTGAGGGTCTAGCTGTAGATTCTATGCCCTTAACCTTTAAGTCTACTGCCTTTCAAGGGCATTAGAATGCTTTTCATGAAAATGAGTTCTTTAATTAATATGACTTTGAAAATGTGCATTTCTGTAACAAAAAAAAAGGATGATTTTCATACGCTATGAGTTTTTAAAGTAAACGACATATGTGGTTTGTTCAAAAAGAAACTTAGTCATTAAACTTTAGAAAATAGAAGAAATCTGCCCATGGATTTTACATATTTACTTGGGTGATTTGATAGTTCATCATGAATAATTCTATAAAGAGTAAATAAGTAAATAACTCTCAGGAGATCATATTGTTGGAGCACTAGAAGGAAGATTGGAACTAGTGTTCTAGTTGGAGTCTTGTTGTCCTCTGATTATAGAGATGATCATAGCTTATTAACTCATCACCTGTGTAATCTCAGTCTTGTTAATGGTCCCTTTAAGAAGCTGGTATAAGCTATGGGCCTCTTCAAAAGACTGTACATAATCAAATACATGCAAAATATTCTTACAACATATATTTTATGGCATTGTAAACCAATTTCCCTTGAATAAACAGCATCTTAAAAAGCATCAACAAAGAATGAAATTAGAACACTTCCTAACACCATACACAAAGATAAATTCAAACTGGATTACAGACCTAAATGTAAGACCAGAAACTATAAAACTCTTAGAGGAAAACATAGGCAGAACACTCAATGACATAAATCAAAGCAAGATCTTCTATGACCCACCTCCTAAAATAATGGAAATAAAAACAAAAGTAAACAAGTGGGACCTAATTAAACTTAAAAACTTTTGCACAGCAAAGAAAACTGTAAACAAGGTGAAAAGATAACCCTCAGAATGGGAGAAAATGATAGCAAATGAAACAACTGACAAAGGATTAATTTCCAAAATATACAAGCAGTTCATACAACTCAATACCAGAAAAACAAACAACCCAATAAAAAGTGGGGAAAAGACCTACACAGACATTTCTCCAAAGAAGACATACAGATGGCTAACAAACACATGAAAAGATGCTCAACATTGCTCATTGTTAGAGAAATGAAGATCAAAACTACAATGAGGCATGCATCACCTCACACCAGTCAGAATGGCCCTCATCAAAAAGTCTACAAACAATAAATCCTGGAGAGGGTGTGGAGAAAAGGGAATACTCTTGCACTGTTGGTGGAAATGTAAACTGATACAGCCACTGTGGAAGACGGTGTAGAGATTCCCTAAAAATCTAGGAATAAAACCACCATATGACCCAGCAATCCCACTCCTAGGCATATACCCTGTGGAAACCAAAATTGAAAAAGACATATGTACCTTAGTGTTCACCCCAGCACTATTTACAATAGCTAGGACATGGGAACAACCTAAATGTCCATTGACAGATGAATGTATAAAGAAGTTGTGGTATATATACACAAAGGAATATTACTCAGCCATTAAAAGGAATGCCTTTGAGTCAGTTCTAATGAAGTAGATAAACCTAGAGCCTATTATACAAAGTGAAGTAAGTCAGAAAGAGAAAGATAAATGTCATATATTAATGCATATATATGGAATCTAGAAAGATGGTACCAGCGAATTTATTTGCAAGGCAGCAATGGAGAAACAGACACAGAGAACAGACTTACAGACATGGGGAGAGGGAAGGAAAGGGTGATATGTATGGAGAGAGTAACATGGAAACTTAAATTATCATATGTGAAATAGATAGCCAATGGGAATTTTCTGTATGTCTCAGGGATCTCAAACAGGGGCTATGTATCAACCTAGAAGGGTGGGATGGGGAGGGAGATTGGAGGGAGGATCAAGAGGGAGGGGACGTATGTATATCTATGGTTGATTCATGTTGATGTTTGACAGAAAACAACAAAATTCTGTAAAGCAATTATCTTTCAACTAAACATAAATTTTTAAAAAATTTTTAAAAATTATCAATTGAAATGTTTGCTTTTTTATTTAAAAATTAATGACTAATTTCAAAAAAGTATATATTGTATAAGTAATCTTTAATTCTTTTCACAACCAAATTTCAAAGAAAGAGTGATAGTAATAAGTACTGTTGCTCAGTCACTAAGTCCTGTTATGGA